TCCCCCCCCCCCCCTCATTTCTGCCCACCAGCCACAGACAAGAGATACTTTTCTTAATCCTTTTTTGTACGTTTTTTTTTTTTCTTTTTCTGCTCCAAAAGTCGTGGAGTCTTCCCTTTCTTCTCCCCTCGTCTCCAAATTCCCTAACCTTGAAAGACCCCATGATTTGCGAGGGGGACCCACCTTCTCCCATTTAAGAAACCCTTCTGATAAGCGAAAAGCAAAGACCTTTCCCATGGGCCATGGAGGGGAAAACAGCTGGTCCCCGACGCTTCCGCAAGGACCATCCTGTCACTCTTCCCAGGACAGGCGGGTGGACAGGGCGCGGCGTCCTACCTGAGACAGCACGTTCTCCTGGTTGTCGGCCTCGTTCTGCAAAGTCTCATCCTCCGTGGGCGCCACCGTGTGCACATGTGGGGGTTCGCTGGTTCCCGTGGGGGTTGTACTGGAGCCCCAGCCCGCAGCCACGACCAGAGCGAAGCAGACAACTGGGAGCAGAGACTTGGCCATGGGGGAGCGACAAGGGGGCCCGGACCCCTTCGGAGAATGACTGGGATCGGAGGTCTCGGCAAGGACGGAGGCGAGAGGGTGTCTTGGCTGGAGCCCGGGAGTGGCTGCTCAGGGCGCCTTCTAAAGCAGGGCGCGAGGGTGCGCCCCAGAGACCCTGGGCATCTCCTTCCGACGCGCGCAGCCCGCGACCGTGCAGCCCCAGCGGCGAGCCGGGGCGGGCACCCGCGGCGGCGCGGGCGGCCGGGCAGGAGCGCGGCGGAGCGAGGGCGCGGAGCGAGGGCGGAGCCTCTATTGTGCCGGGGCCGCGGAGATGCAGCCAGTGACGGCGCGGAGGAGGAGGACCGCAGGCACGCGGCGCTTGGGCGGGGGGCGACGTCGGAAGGGCAGCCCCCGGCCGACCCCGCCCCCACTCGGCTGGCGAGGGGTGACGTCGGAAGGGCGCCCCTGTCCTGCCATCTGACCGCAGATGATGAGCGCAGAGACGTTATCCCCGTTAACCTGAAGTTTGAGGTCCCTTGTCCCATTCTTGGTTGGGGTGCCCCGAGCGCTCCCGCCACGCCCAGCCAAAGCGGAGCCTTGACATCCTTGCTTGGCCGCCCAGGGGCCAGGAGGGGAGGCCTTTGCTCCTCTGGCCGCTGCTTTTCCCCGTCCTGACTCTGGGCGAGCTCTCCCGCAGCTTTGAACTTAGCGCCATTGGCGGTTTCTTTAGAACCTAGAAATACCCCCACCCAGAGGACAGGGATTGAACTCCCCGCTGGAGTGGGTCCCGGAGTTGCATAACTGTTCAAAATAGTGACTGGAAACCGCTGACACTTTGGAAGTCCGAGTCCCCGTGAGGAAAGCCACGCAGGGTATTCAAAAAGTTTGGAAAATGCATATTGTGAAAAAAACTGTGCATAGATTTTAAAACTTTGAGGACTCCCTTGAACTGCCTCCTTGAACTGCCTGATATAAAAATGATCGGCAAAAAAAAAAAAAAATAGTTCTTACTATCTCTGTAGTTTGGGGCAAGATTCCGAGTATGATACCCTTCATCAGCGTCCTTTTTGTAAACCTACCATGAACGTTAATGATGCGTGATTTAAGGAAGGGCACTATGCCTTCCGGGGTAACTGTCACCCTGGATACTGAACAGAACCAGGCTCCTTCGAAGACCTGAAAGGCATTAATATATCATGCCCACTTTTGAAACTCAAGCACCATGCCCTATGCTAAAGAATAAGGATTGCACCGGGACCAGAAATTGGCGTAATGGTTATGTCGCTGGACTCCCATGTAGTCTACTGCAGTCGACTGCTGTTCAAGTCCCAGACCTGGTGGCTTAAACTCACGCCGGGTGCGTGTGCATATGTGCCCAAGATCCCTAGAGGAGAATGGAGGCGAAGGGACTGTGGCGTGGCCATCCCCCCCAGGGAGGTGATTTCTCACTTGCTGTCTCTGTTTTTCTGGCAAGCACATGCACCCTATACCAAAATCCTCAACCAAAAAAAAAAGAAAAGAAAAGAAAAAAAGGAAAAAGTGAAGCGACTTCAGCCCATACCAATGATGACAGTTTACAGAAGTATAAAAATCAGTGTTAATGTATTTTAATCGTCTTTTAAATGAACTACCGTTTATTAGAAATAGAAAATTATTGACAATAACATGCATGATTAAGCCACTTTCTGGATGGGAAATCACATTCTGTATACTGTGATGATGCTTAAGGAATGAATGTAAATTAATTTTTAAAAAGATTTTTTTAAAAAAAGCTTATGGAAATACGTGTAATGGGAAAACTATGTATGAATTTCAAAAAGTTTTTGTACCAAAATAAATTCACACTTTAATTGTAAAATAAATAAATAAATAAATAAAAGTTGAGAACATTAAAAAAGAACGACTGTTTATGAGTTTGGGGGACTATCATTTGCACACACATGTGCACACATGCAGCCCCCTCTATGTAAGCTAACAAGTCTTGGAAACTAGACGGGGCTGAATATGTATAAATGGCATTATAAAGTCAGCGTGTAGCGAGGGGGCAGGCCCTACATAGACCCTACATGGCCTAGTGGTAGAGGGAGCCCGATCCCACATGTCTGACCACTGCTTGAATCTCAGCTCCAGCAATTTGAAAAATGCCCTGGGCGCACGTGTGTGTGTGCCCCAAATCTTGACACTATGGGGAAATGTAGGAGAAGGGACTGGTGTGATGACATCCCATTGAGGGGGTGCTTCCTATCCCCCCCATTCCTGCCACCCCACCTTATAAGTGCTCACGCCCTCTGGCAACTAAAAAAATAAAAGTGTTGTATGTTAGGTCGTTCACTACAGCAAGTTAGGTTGCTAGACGTACATGGGGACATGAGCGAGGCTGTGGCTCCCAGCAGGGGGGGGGCGGGAGCCAGGTGAGCTTACCCAGTAGGACCGTGCCTGGCGCGGCTTAAAGAAGGGAAGAGAGGGACCAGCAGATGGCGGAATGGTTATGTCGCTGGACTCCCACGTAGTTGATGACAGTTTGATTCCCAGACCTGATGACTTAAGGTCACAAAATTCTGAGAGAAATCTGGAAAAGAAGGGATTGTGGTATGGCCATCCCCCTCTGGGGGGTGATTTCTTATTTTCTGTCTCTCTCTGTCTTTCTGGCGAGTGCACGCATCCTATACCGCCCCCCCCCCACTCCGCAAAAAAAAAGAAAGAAAGAAAGAAAAAGAAAAAAGAGAAAGAAAGAAAAAAAGAAAAAAAAATGTAGGCAAGAGAGAGAGGCTATTCTATTCTGGCTGGGTAGTACCCTCAGCCTGAATGTGTGTTCATACCCCGCACTGGGGCTCACTTCTTAGGGAAGTCTCCCTGACTCCACCAACAGGGTGAGTCTATACTCCCACCGTGCCTTGGGTGTTAGAGATGTACTCTTCCGGGGGTATTTCAGTGGTGCCTGTCTTCCCTGCTAGACCGTGGTCTCCATGACGACAGGGACTTGGTCTGGTTTTGTTCACACACCCTCGGAGTTGAGCCAGTGCCTGGAACAAGGTGGACGCTGTATAAACACTGGTCTGATGAACGACCGAGTAGTCCAGTTGGACGTACTTCCAGCTGCCTTCGTGAGGACGATCTTTGTATCTGCCAGGATGCATTTGACTACAAGTAAGAGAAAATCGTAGGTGATGACTTAATCAAACACACGTCCCTTTTTCTCCCACTCTAGGAGGACTGAAAGTTGGCTGTTTGAAGTTTGGCTCCGCAGCTCAGCCATGTCATCAGGGCCCTAAGCTAGTTCCAGTTTCCTCTCCACTATCCTTAGGGTGTTGATTTTTTACCTAAACCTACTTGACTGAAGCCAGTCTCAGCTAACTCCTTACCAGACAGTCAGTTTCCCAATTTTCCTATGGCTAAAGGTATCCATGTGATCTAGTTCGGGCCAATAGAATAAAATAAATCTGCAGGGAGCCTTTGGGAAAGACATTTTGCTTACTGATAAACGAAATAAACAGGTCAGAAGAATTTTTTTGCCATCCTTCCCCAACTTCTTAGCTTTGATTGTGGTCATAGTGCTGGAGCTATGGCAGCCATTTTACGATCATGAGTCCTTTCTCCCATTGAATGGAAATATATTTCCTTTTAAATCGCACTTTCGAATCTCCTTTAAACATTCAGTCCTATGGTACCACACAGAATACGGTGAAGACCTTTCCTACAAGAGCTTTCTTTTACTTAAAGAGAGAAAGTAATATCCTCTAAATCTCCTCTTTCACTAGCTAACAATGCTCACTTTCTTCTTTTAATTCCCCTGTTTATCAGACCACATTCTAGATCTTCCTTTACTCTGGTTATCTATCTCCAGAAGAGCTCCAGTTTGAGTAGATGCTAGATCTCATTGGAACCACTTCTTTTTCTCTTCTTTTCTTGGCATTATTTTTTCATTACCGTAGCCCAGAATTGCCTTAGCTCTTCTGGCAGCCAAATTGTACCAATGATTTACATTGGTTTAGTTTTGAAATGTAGGTTTTTTTTTCCTTTTCTTTATCTTGTTGGATGTAAATTTATACTGGTTTCCTCTATCTGTGCTTTTTTAAAAATCTATCATTTCATTTTAATTGTTTTCAGTCTTACGATGGCATAATTTACAAATCTATGCTAATGGTATATGTCCTCCACTTTAATCCTCCCAATAAATCGGCAAAAGCACCATTACCAATCACACATATACAGTAGTTCTTCAGTTTCTGTGTGATTTTTTTTTTTTTTTGGAGAGATTTTCGCTATAGGGCGCATGTGCTCGCCAGAGAGATAGAGAGAGACAGAGAGATAGAAAGCGAGAAATCACCCCCCTAGGGGGATGGCCATGCCGCAATCCCTTCTCTTCCATTCTCCTCTCGGGATCTTGGGCATGCATGCACACGCACCCGGCGTGAGTTTTAAGCCACTGGGTCCAGGACTTGAACAGCGGTCGACTACATGGGAGTCCAGCGACATAGCCATTACGCTAACTGCTGGCCCAGATTCTATGTGATTTTGAAGAGTAGTCTAACAATCCTGAACTATAAGTTAGTCTGACTTAGATCATAGAATCCCAAGGTAATATTTAACATGCTACTAAATCTTGTCACACTGACTTTCAAAAGCGCCCGACCTTACAAATCATTTATAAATAGGTAAAGTGTTACATATTCTTTATTTGCTAGTATACATAAACCACACTGAAATGTCTGTCAATAACTAAAAGGCAGTGTTTTGGATACAGGGAATTCTAATTAAATTGGCAGAGTTATGACCAAATAAATATAGAAAGTGGACGTCATTACTTTATCTTCAGCCTGTGCTTTAACAGGTTGATAAACACAAATTGAAACACAGGTGAGTCCGCTTAGTTTTGAGAAGTGAAGGGATTTCGCCAGCATTTATCTATTCATGTAATCAGTTACACGTAGGCCACGTAAAACCAGTCTCCAGTAGGCTTTGAGATGGCGTTCACCGTCAGTAGAAAGATGAGCTTCACTAATGAATTACCAATTATATCTTCAGAAAGGGCAAATAGCGATAGCATTTACTGAACTGAAATTACTATCAAATTAGTAAAAGCCAACAATATTCATTTAAACTCAAGCCAGTCTTACTGAAATCAGGACTGTCCAACAAAATTATCCTGCCATTCATGAGCTGAGTTCTAGTGTAGGAGATCAGTTAAAATATGGTACACATAGGGACCAGCAGTTAGCATAATGGCTATGTCGCTGGACCCTCATG